AGTATCAGAGGAGGGAACATTTTGATAAATTTTTTCCTTAGTGCAGTACTGTGGGGGTACTCCAAGATAAATGATTTGGGTACCCTGAGGTTCTCTCCTTGCATCTGTAAAGTAAATGGTAAATTAGATATGTTCTAAAGGTGAATTAAATGCTTTCTAAGATCCCATTCACCTCTAACTCTGTGACCCAAGAAATAGCTTTTTGGTAAAACTTCCAGAGAAGGCTGGGGCATTTAATCCTTGTTACAAGTATGTGTAGAACAAAGGGAACGAGCACATATAAAATCAAAGTCTTTCTAGAATAAACTACCAGTGGACCCCCTTAACCACTCCAAAGCTTTAGCTGAAAATGGGGTCATAAACTAAAGTAATGTGAAAGTGCTTTGAAAATAGAATCATATACAAAAATCAGGATTGCTGTTAGGAAAATAAAAAGGGGGATTCTTGGGTAGCCATTTCTCAGACTCTAGATTTTAACTCTTTCTCAGTTTAAAAATATCACTCCATAGAATTTTTCTGCTCCAGCAATGGAGCTAAAATTTATGAAGGGGAATAGTATGATAATAGTGATTTACTATTGGAGGAAGAGATGATTTTAAAATTTAGCTAACAAGAATAACTGATGAAAAGAAGGCATGTTGTAAAATGTACTGATTTTATAAACCCAAACAGGTTAGAAGTGTTATATGAAGAAATATAGAACTGCTTTTTAGCAGATCTCAGAAGAAAATACCCCAAGCCAAAGTTGTCATACTTCACATGCATGCTATGGTCCCACCCCAAGATTCTGGGAAATCTTAGAAAAATATCTGAATAGCTAAGGTCAAGTTCTCACAGCTGTGACAAGAATTAATAGTAGATGCTTAAAATATTTTCATATACTTCACTCCTAGTAGTTAAGTTAGAGGATACTTACTACAAACAAACATTTGTTTTGGTTGGATTTGATAGTTCAAGCCTGTGATACTAGCTACTTGGGAGGCAGAGATTATGGATCAGGGTTCCAGGCCCAACTCAGGCAAAACAAGGAAGTTAAAAGACTCATCTTGGTAGGCATCATGATGTGTATCTGTTATTCTAGCTAGAGAGGATGAGGATCCTTCATAAAACCTTATGAAATGGCCATTCTAATGGGAGTAAGGTGGAATCTCAGTGCTGTTTTGATTGACATTTCCCTTGTGCCCATCATCAAGAAAACAAACAGTAACAGATACTGACAAGGATGTAGCTAAAAGGGAACCCTAAAACACCAAGGGTGGGAATGTAAATTTGTTCAATCACTGTGGAAAGCAGCGTGGAGGTTCCTCAAAATCTAAACATAGGGCTGGGAAGGTGGCTCAGTGAATCAAGAAAATGTAATTGTGTGTGTGTGTGTGCGTGTGTGTGTGTGTGTGTGTGTTTTACTCACCCATTAGAAACAATGATATTGTATCATGTGTAAATAAATGGAAAGATCTGGAAAAAATTATGGCAAGTCAGGTCCAGAGAGACAAAGGATGCATATTTTTCCTTAGCTTGTAAACTTTCAAGTAAATATGTGGGGTGGTATGCAAGTGTATACAAATATATTACCTGAAATATCATAGGTTCAAAGGAGAACTCAAATATGCAATTCCTTAGAAAGGTAAAGTCAAAATAAACACCAGGAAGTGGTTATTTGAAAGGTGTTAGAAGGGATCAAGGAGAGAGAGGGGTAGATGAATGAAGAGGAGAAGTGTGAAGAATGCACTCAAGAATTTAATGTATATCCTTCCAATTTTTTTTTTTTTTAAAGTGAGGGAAGGGGTAGGTTGGGAGGAATGAGTGAGAACATTGAAAAGATCAACATGAGCAAGATGCATTATGTTCACAAACTGCTTTGTTAAATAGAAACTCCTTGGTATAACTACTTAAAAATAACAAAAAGATAGAAACATTTAAAACAACAAAAAATAAAACCCCAGATAATTCATGTTTTCAAAACAAGATTTCCTAAAAAAGACAGTGCACCACATTACATTAAGCACATGGAACTAGTCACAGAGGTTTAACACTAAGAGCTATCTTTGGGTAAGTATGGATAAGAAATAACAATCACATCACTCATCCAGAACCAAACTTTAAACTATGGGAAAAAAAGATGTATTTCCTTGGAAAGAATTAAAGAATAGGGCTGGGAAGGTGGCTCAGTGGTAGAGTGCTTGCCTTGCATGCATGAGGCCCTGGGTTCGATTCCTCAGCACCACATAAGCAGAAAAGGTTGGAAGTGGCGCTGTGGCTCAAGTGGTAAAGCACTAGCCTTGAGCTAAAGAGCTTAGGGACAGCGCCCAGACCCATAGTTCAGGCCCCACGACCAGCAAAAACAAAAACAAACCAAGAATTAAAGAATAACCAGGAGTCACAAATAAACTGGTTTACCAAGGTTGTTTTCAATCTATTTTTTCCTACTAAGAAAAATATAATAAATGTATTGTATCACTTCAAATGATATGTTTACTATTCCAATATTTGTTTCCATTGCAAAAGAAACTATGAAATGAAGGGAGGTACTTTTTATTATATCATCATTGGCATAACTCACTTCAAGTATAGATTAGATTTAGAAATCAGATTAATGGAATGAGCAATTTATATATATGCACACATACATACAGTCTTTATATTTCCTAATTTAACAAAGAAATGTTCAAGGGAACCTACAGACCTGATTGTTTGTTAATCCTCTCTTCTTTGATTTTCTGCAGCATGTGCAGTCTAGATGAATCATTTCCCAAGGGTGAATTATCTCGTGTCTTTTCACGCATATATTTCTTGTCTGTGCAACTGAAAAGTGAACTCTTGGTGCTAATCCCAAAGTCTTGAACCTGACCTGGGTACATTAATCATTGATTGACATGCACATCTTCAGGAAAAAGCCCAGTGAGATACACTTAAAATTTTTATTCATTGATTTACAAAATATACAATATTTACAACATTTATGCATTGATACAATATTGACATGGGTGTTTGAAGGAGTCTAAAAATAAATATGTGCCACATAGATTAATATACATATCATGGCTCTCTACACTTCAAGCCATCACCAATAGTGAGATTTAATGGAAAGTATAATGTAGTAGAAAAGTCAGATGGCTAACTAATCCTAGAACTTCCACATGACTGGCTCTTCCTTAATTCCTGAAGCTATGGTTGACAAACCATTTTCTTTCAAGAGAATTAAACAAAAGCCATTTTGACAGGTGTTTGGGATGCATGCAGCCATTTGTGCAGTGTCTGCAATAAGTTCCTGGGGGTTGGGTTTTTCTCCACCTTTGTGGACCTGGTCCCTGGACACCAGCCAGTGAGGTTCTGATGTGGTCGCTCCCTTGTCTCTTATTCAAATTGCATGCAGAACTTGGAAAATGTCTGTGGACTGTGACCATGCACAATTGGTACTTGTAGATATATATACAACATCAGATTTTCTTTGCCTTATAGCATCTTTAGATGCAGCATCAGTTGTCTACTCTTAGCAAGAGGGATGAATGAAGGATTCCCAACAGTAAGAGAAAAATATCAGCTGGGGTCACATGCAATCTTGTAGAAGCAGGGTAAGATAAACTCTACATGATAAAAATGAGCAAATTCCTAGAAGGGTAATTTGACTTTCTCATTGTGTCCACTCTTCCTGCCTCATCTGCAGGAAAGTGCTTCACCTCATTGAGCTTCCTAGAGCTTCAGAACCTTCATTTGTAAAGTTTAAATACTAGTGCTATTCCTTAGAGGGTTCTTGCAGGGATTATATGACCTAGCTATGTAAAGTGCTTAGCATAGTGCCTGGCACATAGGAGGTGCTTAATGCATGTCTTGCTTTCTTTCCCTTGATTCCTAACTCCAATTATAAGCACCTAAAGGAAATTGATAAGCTTACCAAACTCTGAATTAAGGCCATGTGATGTAATTTTGATTGTTTTTTGTATCAGAGTCACTGCTGTCAGTTCACATTTAGTCCCTGAGGTGGGTCTCATTTCTTGAGCCAAAGATAGCTTTCTGTGCACAGCAGATGACACTGTCTTCTGTATCACTACTGGTTCCAACCACATTACACACAAACATACTCCACAACAGAAATTCTGACCAGTGATGAAATCCACCTGAATATATCTAAGACAATACCACTGAGAAAACCATGAGCAAGAACCTTGAAGCAAGCACATTACTCTTGCTCACAGCACATTAATTTTTTTCCAACACTGGTGCAAGTATTACAGATAACTTTCCACAAACATATATTAAAAGCTTTACCACTGTTGAAAAATAAGCATTAAGATTTGATTTGTTCAGAATAAAGAACTTTTCAGAATATATTTTAGTTTCTGGTTATGTCATAAAAAATAAATAGTGTTTAAAGAATTTACAAGGAAGAAGAAAAAATTGTAACTTTGGATGTCAACAATATATGAAAGATGAACAGTCTATCCTCTATTTCAAAAGCAAGATCTAAAAGAAACAAAAGCATACTATTTTACTAGACTCTTTACTAGTCTTACAATCCACCTTTTGCTACTCTTAGCATATTCTGTTTTCCTTAGCTATTGGTCTAACGACAATTTAATCCAGAACCTTCATCCTAAAAAATCACTGGGTATGTGAAAGGAGAAGGTTCTTTGGCACTAAGAACTATGGATAATGAGGAAACTTGCTGAGCTACTTCTGGGCCCTCAAAAAACTAGAAGTAACCTTCATAGGTCTCTCTTTCATCCAAAATCCCATCATCTCTGTCTAAATTATTTATGATTAAATGGAACCCAGCACCGGGTAAAAGTAACCCCATCCAACTTTGGGACTCTGGATACCATTGGCCCAGGCTGAATGGAGGGTTTTATGGAACATGATTAATTTTCCCATCAAAGTGAATCTCTCCAATTATATAAAGAGTAAAGCATAAGTATTTCATGAATGATAATTCCATTAAGTTGGGGAAAATCTTTCTCTAGTCACCCCTACAAATACACCAAACTTTTATGATTGCCTGTTTTACCTCTCAGGCAGAGCAGAGGGAAATAATTCTTTGCCTCAAGAAAAAGAGATTGGAAAAATTAAAGTGAGCAAATTGCATAGAGTAAATTGCTCTTTGAGAAACTCGGTTGGAATCTAAAATGAAATAGTCCACCCATATTCAGATTCAAAGTTGTAAAATCCTAAAACAATACGTGAATTCAAAATTAGAATAAAACCAGTGGTTCTTTTACCCTTCTCCTGAAACACCATCTTTTACATGTATCCATATAACAGACTCTTCAGAACTCCTGCGGCTCATACGTGGATTCCAAATCAAGAACCCCAGACTGTACTACATGCAGAGCTCTTTCTTTCCTGGAGTAAAAACAACAGTTTGTGGTACAGGTCCCAGGGAATGTATTGGGAAGAGGCTGGCTCCGATTAGGTCTTGTCTGGACTGTAAATGACAACAGTGAAGCATGGCAATGGTACTGCCTGGCCATGATGACACCTGTGAGTGCTGTGATCTTATGTGCACAATGCTGCCAGGTCAATGATGCATGCATGACGAGAGACTGCCATGATCCGCACAGATCACTACTACCCATGTTGCCTTGAGCTGCTACACAGTGAGTCCTAACCATACCCACAAGCAGGACACAAGCACCGACATACAGTGTGGGTGCCCTTTTGTCTGATTTATAGGTGATGTGGTGGCAAATGTGGCATCAGTTTCATTTCGAGGGAGTGGCAGGTTACAGATATTTCCTTCACAGCAGGAGGTGCAGATCTAAAAGAAAGGAAGAAAAAAAAAAGTTGATAAGAAACTAAACAGGTTTTGGAAAAAGGCAAGGATTTTAAAGACACTGACTCCATCATGGCAAAAGTCAAAGGACAGAGATTTGTTCTACAAAGCAATCGCCAATCCCACATTTAGGAACCATGGAGATAAATGAAGCAGCATGGTCAAAATGAAAATAGCTCAGCTTAAATTTCAAGGAATGAAGATATTGTTTTTGTTTTCCTACCCTGTCATTGCTACAAAGTTTTGCAACATTTTTAGGCCTCAGCCATTCCATCTGTGAATTGGGGATTATGAAGCTTGCCTTTCTTTTTCAAGAAACTCTTCTTGACCACATGAGAAAGCAGTCCAGAGGGCAAATCTTCCTCTGCCAAGTTTTTATAGTGAAAATGGGGCAATAAGTAGGCAATTTATTTTGTTTATCACTGTCAGCATAGTTAACTCCGTTCTCTGAGCTGATATTCAAAAGGTTTTCATCTACACAAGTATTCCTGATTTATTCTGCTTTACTCCAGAATTACACAAAATAAACAAATCCAAAGGGTAATTGATAGGCCTTGGTTACTTTAGGCCATGGCTGTGGCCTAGTATGCACCAGCAGCTTCAACAATAGCTGGACACTTGTTAGAAACGCAGAAACTCAAACCTTACCAGACTTTGAGAACTACAGGCTGCATTTTAACAAGCTATGACCTGGTCATATTTATAGAATAGTTGATATCCTTTACAGTCATTGTCCTGAAACAATCTGAGCATTTGGTCACAACTGACATTGGCTAGGAAGAGTGTAGTGTTGAGAACAAAGACTGAAAGTCTCAAGTGAATTTGAAGTTGGTTTCTTTCACTTACTGACTGTGCAACATATGACATATGACCATACAACAAAACTTCTCTGGTCCTCCCTGTTCTCCTGCTAGAAGAATCAAGTAATTGGTCTACCTTTCATATTTCATATCCAAAAAAAGCTAGAAGGATATATTACATGTATATAGTTACAGTATCTAAAATTGAATGCTTAGCAATTTTGAGAAATTACTTGAAAATTGAGAGAAGGAAGTCTTCATAGGTAATGCTTTCTGAGATATACAGTAAGGAATTGTCCTGACCCTGATAAAGTTTAAGAGGTGCAAATCCACATGGGGGTTCTCTGAGCACTATCAAATTAGTCGAAATCCAGCAGAGACCTTCCCCAAACTCATACCCAGAAAGACACATGGAGTTATGAAAGCTAAAATGTATCAGCCTTCCCAGGTAAATGACTTGCTCTGGTATCTCCAGTGCTTTGCTATGATGGGCATTAGTGGTCCCTACTCCTGGCCCTTCTGGTAGATAGCTGATTTTCTTCTGAATGAGGAAACAGCAGTCTTATAATCATCTTCAACCCTCTTGGAAAGTGCTCATATACATTCATGTTCTTTTAGGGCATACATAAAGGAATCTTCTTTTTACATTGATGTAATGATAGAAGGCAGCCCGTATGGCCAGGGGCATCTGCTTGTGTGTACTGGCAGCTGTCTGAGGAAAAAGGCAGCTGCCTACACTGTACCGTCTTTTGCTTTGTTGCCCAGACCTTGTGGCCTTCATGCTCTGAGTCTCTGCAGCCAGTGGACAAGCACTCTTCTAGTGGTACACAGCGTTTGGTGACAGAGATGCTGTTTCCTGTGACTTCCATCGTGTGCTGAGTATAGCAGTATCTGGTTTCTGTGGACATAAAATATGCTTTAATTGAGAGGGGAATATTAGCTCTGTCTACTGAAAAGGCACATCGTAGCAGTGGCATGTAAACTGTCTCAAGTTTATGGCCAATGACAGAATTTACCTCCTAGAGAATGTTAATCTTTGTCTATCATAATCCTCACAATCTAAGATATACTGGTATCATTCTCTCCCTTTGAACTAACTTTATCACTGTCATGATTTTGAGGAAGTGAGTGATTCAAAAAGTTAATTTAAGTAGTCAGATACTTATTAGCTTTCAGGAAAATGAAGGAGTAAAAAAGTTCAAGCTGGGAGTCAGTAGCTCACAATGTAATCTTAGTTACTCAGGAGGCTTAGATCTGAGGATTGAGAATCAAAGCCAGCCTGGGCAGGAAAGAACATCACACTCTTATCTCCAATTAACCACCAAAAAAAGATAGAAGCGGAGTTTGTAGAGTGCTAGCCTTGAGAGTTAAAAGAATTTAGGCAGGTGTACAATGGTCCTATAGGAGATAAAAATCTATCACAGAGGATGTGTGTGTGTGTGTGTGTGTGTGTGTGTGTGTTTCCAACAAATTAGACATGGATTCATTTTAGCTGGAGAAAATGACTATTTTTAAGGATGAATTTCTTGCCAATGAATATGTTTGAATCCCAGGATGCCTGGAGGAAGATGAATGTCACAATGCAGGTGTTCTACAAACAAGGAGCACTGTATCTGCTATAATTTCTGCAACTTTCTGGGATAGTAGATGATGACCATGAAGGAGGTTTTATGAAGGACTATATACATCTTACAAATCTGAAATCCTGAGATTTCTTGCAAAATTCCATACAGAATTTCTCTACTGATAATTTAAATACTAGAGGGGAAAAACTTGGGCTTTGTCAGTGTAATTCTTTAGGACGTCCAGGCAGCATTCAGCTCTGTAAGTCTCGGATTTAGGAGAATGCAACCTCTCTCCTTTCACATTAGAAAAGAAATGAATAAATCTTAAGAAATGACACTGTGCTGTTTTTCATCTATATCTTGGACCTAACTTTGCATGCTTTATACATTTTGGATATTTAGTGGCTAATATGGAATTATGACCTACTATGATATTATTTATTAGGCAATAAAAATCCCCCACACCACATTCTGTCAAGATTCTGGCAGCTTTTAACCAGAGTTCTAATGCTAAAAGAAAAAAACTTAAGAAGTTTAAGAAGAATGAGCTAATATAGACCACATTGACCTAGTTCCAGCTATGAAAACGTAAGGATTTTATGAATCCTCCTAGACAACAGCACTCGGAAAAGAACCCAGAACAGCCTCTGGCTGAGTGTGACCAATGAAAGCACCTTTTTCAGGGCTGCACTGTTGTTGGCTCTTCCCAGGAAGGGCCTAGATCAGTGCCATCCCTTTTTGTTTAATATGGTATGGAGCAATTTGAGTGTAGGGCAAATAAGATCACTCTGGGAGTGAATAGTTGAAAGTTTGACTCCTGGAAATGGCATCCCAAAGCCCTCCAGTATATCTTAAAGTTGAAGCGATGGTGCTTTGCCTGAGGAGTTTGCAGAAGCTCTCATCTGGTTTTCTTTTAAGCTTTTGTTTGACAGTTTTTGACAAATGAATACCAGTGGCCTGAGATTTACTACATCTTCTAAAGAAGACTGGTTTACCTCTTTGGCATCAGACTCAATGGACATTTATGACCATATTTCCAACCCACACCCCAACTTCAATATCTGGAAAGCAATAAAAACAGGAATGTTCTTATCTCCTGTCTCCTCTTCTTGCAGACAACTTGGAGCAGTGCCAGAGGCTTTATTGCTCTAAATGTAAATCTGAGCAGATAAGATCGCATGCTTATGGAATAAATAAATCTCTACAAGGTTTCAGATTGGGAAATTAGGTTTGTCCCCCAAGTAACGAATTATCTTGTTTTAAGTGAGCCTTAAAATAACAATTGTTAAACTAACACCACCTCAATTCTGTTCATACTCTTTCTATTGCCTTCTTAACTTATGAATTGGGAGTTTATTTCACTGAATGAAAGCAGTGCCAACCACTGATGAAAATAATTTTTTAGGAAAATATGAAAAACCCTTGCCATCTTGATATGGGAGAGGGGGATTAGTGCAGACGCTGGATAAGAGTCTAATACATAAAATAAAGATATAGCAGGAATACTGCCATGACTTCCAAAGTCCAGGTCTTAATCCTGAAGCATCAGGTCCTCAAAGTATCTATTCTACTTTTTGTTTTACAAACTTCCTAGGTAACTTACAAAGTGTTAATGTGGAAGAAGGCTCTGCAGCTAAGTAAGTTTTGGAAATGCTCAAATAAAATAAGCTGATTTCTTTGAGGAACATTTTTGAAGAGTCTTCAACATCCCTTTTGATCTGTGATATGCAAGGCTATGTTGGGGTGAGCAGAAGGAATTTCTCAAGCAGAACGAGGTGGACCCAGGTGGCTTCTCACTGGATGGTAGTCATGTTAAAAAAAAAAAACTGAGTT